TGTTCTTACAAATTTTCTTAACACATTATGCCTTTGAAATAAAATGCTATTAGCATCACTAACTTACCACTTTCATAGTTAAAACCTTCTGAGGGGCTTGTGTGTTTTGCAAGGCAAATGAAATTCAAATATCAAGTAACCAGAGGCAACCCAAGGAAAACTTACTAGAGTTTATCTCTTCCATCAGGGCAGCATTTTCTTTCAAGGTGTTTTATCCGCAAGCAACTCCTGAGCAAATATAGCCAACCTCTAACCTTCCTTCTCATTTCCTTGGAACAGAATTTAATACACATTCAAATGGGCGGGTCCCAAAGCCTGCATTTCTAGAAATCCCAGGCGCAGCCAGAGTGGCTGCTCTGAGGCCCCTGACTAACCCCTGAGGAAAGACCTGGTTTAAAGCCAGTGCTGCGAAGCTTCTGAGAACTGATTCAGGAGTTCGCAGTTCTGTGGCTGAGTTTTAGGACATATACCAGGTACAACACTTCCAGGCCTCTCGAGTATCTCAAATTACATCCTGGTTAGCAACTATCAGCACAGGGTCAAAGTCGCTGGGCACAGCAGAATAAGAACATATTCCCCTTCCACGGAAATTCTTAGTGTTCAATATTAAAAATGTCAGCCTACCGAAAGGACGGAGAGAGGAGTGATTGCCTTACTCCCCGCCGCAGTCCTGCAAGGTGAAACGCAGGCACTGCCTGCAGGCTGGCCAGGGCTGGACTGCGGCTTCTCCTTAAGGTGCCTGGCTGAAGCCCAGACGAACTTCGATAAAGCATAAGCTGGGAATAAGGGTGAGATTGTAAGAGTGAGGCTGACAGGGTAAACCAAGGAGGGGGAGTAAGCCCTGATCTCCCAGGACAGTGGCTGAGAGCCAAAAGCAAGCAAAAGGAGATCAAGCTGTTTTGTTGTTGTGGTTGCTGTTGTTTTGGGCAGGTAGGAAAAACTGCTAAAAACTTTTAAATGGCCTCAGAAACAGAGAATGTGTTGTGATACATTTAAAATTTTATGAGCTAAAAACATTTAAAACAATGCTCTCTGGTCATTTTGGGACTGATTTCCACAGGGCAGTGAATCTCAAAAGCTGAAAATATCTGGAAGTTTCTTAATGGCTCTGATGCTTACTATTTATACTTCAGTAAACTAGATGATGCTCCATCTGTGGGCAGGCAGGCCCTAGCATTCTGGGACACCCTGGCAGAGTGAAGGGCCTTGTAATGACTCAGCCTATTTACTTGAACTGCAACCTCTCTCCCTCCTTGGGTCTCCAACCTGCCATCCTACCACAGATTCTAGGACTGCCAGCCCTTAAAGTCTTGTGAATCAATTTCTTAAAAGCAGACCCTCTCTTTTCCGTGACCATGTGTACACACAACACACACACACATACCTCATTGGTTCCGTGTCTCTGGGAAGCACCTGTGACTTAAACTGCTGCACTCTGCTGAGGCCAATACCACACAAACCATTGCACCAGCTTCACGGTGAGTGCATGCTAGCATCTGCTGAAGAGCTGAATAGGAACTTTAATCTGTCAACAGAGCAGGCTGCTTCCTAAGGCCCCCAGTGCTCAGCTATACTTGAATCCCAGCCAAGGTCCTTAGGACTGTGGCAGCCTCTCTTACAGACTTAAGGACTCCAGTGTTATTTTCTCTCTGACAGGATTTTACTAACCTAAAGAAAGCTAGCTGACTGTGCCCTCTCAGGAGAGAGGAGATGCACTATCCTGGGCCAAAATAAAACTTCCTCTCTGTACCCATGGAATCAGCCAGACACTGTCTTTGTGCCTTGCTGCAGTCTCCTGTCAGTTTCTGCCCATGATGAGGAGCACTCTGCCATAACACAGGCCCTGGGCATCAGCCAACTCATTTGCTAGGGCAACAAGTGGGTGATGCTAACGTGGAAATTACTTTTCCCAGCACCCTAAGCTACAGCATTGTAAGATTTGTGCCCCCAAGTCGCAGCCACAATATGCAAGGTAATGTACAAATCACTTCCTCTGCATTCTCACAGATCTATCACCAAGCAGGAAAACAAAAAGTATGTTGTGTGGTAAACACTAACTAGTTTACAACATATTCATCAAAAAACATGACATACCCGATATCCTAAAACACAGATTTCTTAAACAAACATGGGTTGCACTTTAGGAATCCTTTCAACACAGCCTCGTGCAGACAGTAACTATTCTATTGAAGCAAGAATTATGAAGTGTGTTAGCCAGCTTTCTATTTGCTAAAACAAAATACCTGACACCCATAGCTTACAGATTTAATTTAGCTCACAGTTTCAGAGAATTCAGTACATGGTCTAGGAATGGAGGAAATGCACACAGCATAAACTAACTGCAGTCTCAGGAAACACAAGGATATAAGCCAAGGAGCAAATGAATTGCTTACTTGGTTCATTCAGCAATCACCCACTGCGTATCTGCCGAGTACGAAACTTCCTTTCACCAAAATAATGCTGGGCACCAGAAATTACCTAGGTTACACCACAAGTCTGCTCTCTGGTTCCCCAGGATCAGCCCACATTTCACCCTCCTTCCAGGATTTTCTGGGCCTGCTACAACCTTCCTTCCTGAACTGTCTTACATAACCAGCTCTCCTCAATAGCCAACTGGTTTCATCTGCTGGCTGGCCTTATTGTAGCTTACCAGGAAGAAATAAAGGTCATTCTGAACTTGAAGACCATCTATCCCAGCCAGGGCTTAAACCAATACCTGCTCAGGTCACTCCCTTCTCTATAGCACTCAACAGAAGCGGTTCTTTGATTTTTCTGAGAAATGGAACTTAAAGGATTTGGGTGGATTGGCATACATCCCAAAGGCCACTTCACAATGAAGTGTTATTTTTTCTCTGACATCACAATTATTGGGGACTGGAAGCGTAACCCCACATTGCTCAATATTTTGAATGATTTCTGAAAGGGAAACGTTGTCAGTACAATACTTCACCTCTACAGGAACAAACCAGCCTTAAATTTAGTATCCATTCTTCCCAAACTGGACATAAATGCCCACAGTGTAGCCCTGGGGCAGGGCATCATCAGATAAGATAAAGTGCAAAGCTGGAAATAAAACCCAAGTGGAATGCCACACCTCTTGGTAAAGACTGTTACTCCCCTATAAGAAAATATGATATTCTACATTAAAATAAGCCCCAGTACTTTATGCAGTAAAATGAACACCAAGGTGTTTCTCCTAAGATACAAAATGGAAAGTCAAAGAAAACCCCTACTTGCTATACCCCTTTGGGCTCTGTCCTTTCTCAAGTGTAGATGCCCGGCCTTTAAATGTCTTTTGATGAGATTTTTAAGGAGGGTTTTACCTGCACTGTGCACTTTGTAAGCATGAATTCCATCACACCTCTTCCTTCTCTGGCAGCTGGGGCAGTACTTAAGAGGTTACATATGTGGCAAATCGCAGTCACTAAAAAAAGCTTGTGAAATTAATCTGGCTGAAATAATGGCAACAGCATTATCAGTAACAAACCTTACCAAGCTTAAATGGAAGGAAAGGCTGAAGGAAAGGTAACAGCCGAAGGAGGAAGTGGAGTAGAAGCAATCTAATTCACCATAACGCCTAAGGGCTGCCATGGTAACAATCACATGAATCAACTGTTTAGTGGGTTCCACTTGACCAAGGACAGACAGCAAACACTGCACTTGTTAATGTCACACCAGGAGGTGGGGCTGGCGACACAGGTCCACCAGGTGACACTAGTGCCCATAAAATTTAAATTTAACAACCGCTGCAGCAGAGTGCGGAAAGGCATGATGACGGTAGTAATGCCACCAAGAAGGCTAAGTCTTGGTTTGTACACGGATCCGAAAAGGTGAGGACGATCATGTAAGGGCTGACGGCCAAACACCTGCCACTCAGACTCGATATCTAGGAAAATAAGCTCACTGGTTCACAAACGCTACACAAGACACCTGCGGCGGTGTGGCGTCCCCCTTAAGTGCTCTGGAAGTTACTGCTTCGTTTTGATGACCTGAACCCAAATTAACTCACTGAAGAAACTTTACTCAAAGAAAGGATACGACCATAGTCATGTTTTCTACTTTCCTGGTGGCGACGCTGCATCTTACCTCCCGCAAACACCAAGATCAGCACACACCCAAGCGAGTCAGCACCGCAGTCCCCTCACTCTCTAAAAGCCTGCGGAGAAGGCGGAGCGCAGGGCGCGGGGAGCCAGTGGCAGGCTCCCCGGCTGTCTGCCTCTCACAACCTTACGTCTCAGAGTCACACAAGGCCAACAGAAACGATGCCTTTTAGATGCTAGTGGTGACACAGAGACAATAAAACGTCAGCTAAAGTCCAGAACGTGCTTGGCACTAGGCGACTACATTCCCTGGAACAACCGGCTGGCAACAACCCAGGCCACCAAGCTGGTGGCAGGGCAAGCACGCAGCGCGGGGAAGACCCGAGCCCCTCTCCCTTCCGTCCCGGCTCCTCCTGCACTGTCGCTGTGGGCAGCCTGGTGCCATCTGGGCTTGCCGTCTCATCTACCCTATAAAGGGCGAGGGTCTTCGAGTTCCCGGGCCCAGATCACAGCTCTAATCCCTGATTCACTGAGCCAGGCCCCTGACAGCTCTCCACCTGGGTTTCCAGGAAGAAACCTGTTCTCTGACCAGAGAAGCACAGGTCCCGCGGACTGTTCCCAGCACTAACCAGGGGACGCGGTCAGACAGCGCCTGCGGCCAGCACACAGACGCCTAGCGTTCCTCGGCACCCAGCCCAGGAGAACCCACATCCAGAGCTGCCACGGAGGCAGCTTCTGGCGAGCGCGGTCCGCGGGGTGCTAGCGGCGCTGGCGCGGGGGCTACCGGGCGCGACAGGTGCTGAGGGTGCACCCCAGGGTGCAGGGCGCGCCTTCCTTCCCAAAGCCGGCTCCACGCACGCCTCCCTTCCGGCACTCCCGGGAGCGCCTCTGGGGAAATCCGGCCCGGCCTCCGGGCAAACGCCACGCGCCCCGCGCAGCCCGAGAGGGACCTACGCGCACCTGGGGAGCAGCCCGGCCTCCTCGCCGAGCCGCGCCTCGAAGTCCCGCCAGGCCAGGCCCGGGCTCCCGGGGCGCCCGCGCGCGCACGGGCCCTCGTCGCCCTCCAGTGGCTCGGGCGCCCCACCGTGGGCCCCGAGGAAGCCGCGCGCGAACTCCTGGAAAGTGACGGCGTCGTCCCCGTCGGCGTCCAGCTGCCGGAACAGCGCCTCCGCGTCGGCCGGCGGAACGCGCAGCTCCGCGCACAGCGCGCCGAACTCGGCGCGCCCCAGGCGCCCGGCGCGGCCCGCGTCGCAGGCGGCGAAGACGGCGCGCAGCCGGTCCAGGGGCTCGGGCTCCTCGGCCGCCTCCATCCCGGCGGGCGGACGGGCGCGCGGGCCGGCGGACCGGCGGCTGCTCGGGCCCGGGTCCCCGGCCCCGCCCGCGGGAGGAGACTCGAGGGGGCGGGGAGGAGGAGGCGGAGGCTCTCGCCGGCGTGGCCGGGCCAGGGCTCCTACAGGTGAGGTCGCTGCTGGTCACCCAGCCGCTCTGCTTGTAGCCCTGGGCGCTGGTGGAGACAGCCCTGAAGAAAAAAAGGCTGCTGTAGCTCTGCTTCCGTTTTCTTTTTTAAAACTTTGTGGAAACTGTATATTCAGAGTCTCACTATGCTTGGCTCTTAAACGTTCAGTAGTACTGCTGTTTCATTAGCACAAAATGCTTGGTGCACATAAGATTTTTAAAATTCGTCCGTTTTGACACTTCTTTGCTTTTTAAACTTGTCCTGCAATTTCTAGGAGCGTCCCGGCTACCATATGGCTCCTTTGAGTGTTTTAGATGATTCCTGTGGCCCCTGAAAATACTTTTTAAGTTGTTTGTACTTTCACATGTTCTCCTCTACCCTTAGACTTTATTTATTGCTATTTCTTGTAGTTAGGACTGTATTCCCCTTTAATTTCATTCCAGATTCTCTGTATTGCTTATTACTTAGATTTTTAAGAATTTAGTAAAGAATTTGAGTGGTATATTCCTTCCAGACTGTTTTTAAATGTAAATCCCAATGTAAATGTCTGAAGAACTTTTTCATGTTTGGTCCACAGTCTACAGCATTTGCAAGCTCTGAATGGTACTGGTAACCTCCACCTGCACATTAGCTGCTAACCAGAGATTGCTCCATTAGAAATCCGGTCTCATTGCCAAGTGACGTGCAGCTGGACAGCTAATGCACTGAAATGAGTTTTATCGTTAGCGCATTATACGTTCTTAATGATTTTGAGTTTAATGTGCTTGCCTCTTTATTCTAAAGATTCACTTTTCCATATAAAGTAAAAACTGACAAGTTCAATAATACATTTATCTTTACAAATATACTTCCTAAACTGAGTCTTGGAAATATTGTCAATTTTAATTTCTCAGGCAAAAATACTTTACTGCTCACACAAGTTCATCTTGACTTTTCAATCTGAGCTTTCTGCCCACCAGTTCTGTATTACTGTATCCTGAGACCCGCTGTCCCTTTTCCTTGAGCCATTGACTGAAGGAACATAGATTATTCCCAATGTCATACGCACACCTCTTATTTCCACTGATACTCATCTATTTGAAACCTACTACCAGACTTACCACATCAGCCATCTGTCATTACCTAACAGCACAACCAACACACAGTGATTACTGGGAGTTTTTGTGCTGACTTGCCTGGAGGCCCTCAGATGTTGCAGCAATGTGAGGGAACTGGGCCTGGTTGGTCTCTGAGGTGTTCAGTCACATTCCCAGAAGATCCTGCTGACTGTTGCCTGGGCCATGTGTCCTCAGGAGGCTGCCTGAGCTGCATCACAGGGTAGCAGGGCTCCAAAAGGGAAGCCCTATTCCCAAGGGGTTTTCAGAGCTCAGACTGTGTCCTGTTTGCTCATATTCCATTGACCAGGGCAAGTCACATGACCAAACCCTACATCCACATGGGAAAGAACCACACAAGCCCGTGGGTACCAGGAGACATGCTTGATCAGAGCCCCTGACTGTGACAACAGACCACACCAACCTTTATCATGTGCTCTCAGGGTCTTGTCCTGCTGTCCTTCTCTTTATCCCACCACACCTGGACATGTGTCTTAAACACTGATTGTCCTGTCATTCACCATCTCACTGGTTCCAAGTCAGGTGGCAATTTTGTGCCTCGGGGTACATTTGGCAATGCTTGAAGATTTAGTTGTCTTAATTTGAGAAGGGGGAAATGGCTACTGGCATCCAGATGCTAGGAACGCTGCCAGCATTTAATGGTGCACAGACCTGCTCCTTCCATCTCTCACTCAGAAGGATTAACCGGCCAAAAATGCCAGTACTGCTGAGGTTGAGCAGCTGTAGCTCATAACCCACCCCCACCAAGATGTCCCAGCAAAAAAAAAACCAAAGGTCACCTTCAGCAGAGCAGCCAGAGCCCTCTGTGATCTGAACTGCTGCAGAGATCCAAACACTGCTCTTTATTCTTCATTACCTGATTAACATCATAGCTCCTTATTATCAGAACACAGTATAAATATCAAAAAAATTCTTTAACTTATTTCCTCTCTTCTGTCTAACATCTATTTTTCAGCTTCAGCAGAACTAGATCCTGCTTTTCCTGCCAGATCTCCACAATTTCATTATCACTTACAAGTACACTTGTGTCAGCTGAAGTCACAGGCTGCCAAAATGCTTTTGAATAACTCAGCAGAGCTCATGGGGGGAAATCAAGGTTATGTAATCTGTCTCTAATTATTTTTTTTCAAGAAACAGAGGAAAGAAACAGGAGACTATTCTTTTGTGTCTTACCAAGCAGAAACTACCAGCCAGGAATTGTAGATAACAGAGGAACCTTTGAGAGCCAGAGTTGGTAGAAAAGGAGAGCGTGCCCAAAGTTACCATCCTTTTAGGGAGATCACCTTGCTCTCTAGCTGCTCAAGGATTTTAAAAATCAGATATAATCTTGTTAGAGTGTATTTCTCAAAGTAGTGAGAAGATATCTTTGGAAAGAAAAGGTTTTGTGACCAAATACATTTGTAAAACACAAATTTGGAAAAGAATCCTACTAAATTCCTTCTTGGTGAGACAAAGCAAGCTATTTAAACTACTGTTTCCTAATCATATTTTACTATGGAAGCTTTTAGTGCTGGTTGGGGTTGGTTTCAATTTCTGGGAGTTTTGCAGAGAATAAGTGCTCTTGAGACCATACTTTGTGAAACTTCATGTAGACAACGAATAGGGTGAGGAGTCCTAAGACCTGATCCCTCACCACTGCGCTGTAAATCGACCTAGCTCCCCTGACACGAATGAGCACCAGGCCCTTAGCTTGCTGGCCCCACAGTGAGCGGGAAAAGCTTTTAATGGAAGCCTATTGTAATGTGCCAGGTAGGTGTTCCTTCCTTTCCAAGAGCCTTCCTCAGAGCATGACAGCATGACCATTCTTCTACCTTGGAAAGATCCAGTGGATCACTCAAGGTGAAACTAGAAATCTGTGTATGTTGTATACTTCTGAGGGGCCAAATAGTAGGTTCAGGAACTCTCTAGAAGGAATGAATCTCTGGTGGACCTAAGCCTTGTTTTTTCATGAATATCACTGTTTGGCTCACTATACCTGTAGAAGTTAAAGGAAAATTTTTCACAATTTTACAGAGAAAATTGAGTCAGCAAACTTATAGTGATCTACTTAATCCTTTAGGTAAAGCATGAAAAAAAGTAATGTAACTTTTATAATCTTTCAAGAACAAGCAAACGGGAACATTGTATCACATTGCTTTATATCTGTCCAAATAAAACATTATAGTCCCAAATGAACTTCTCCTTCAGTTGCATATTGCTTCTGTAGCTAGTAGCATTTTTCTATATCAGAGTTTGCTAAATTATTCATTCTAAAAAAAAATAGATGTCTTTATAATGCTCCATACAGTATCAAGTACCATTTTACATCACAAACCAGATCCGAGTTGGCATCATCACTAGAACTGAGCAGTGTTAAGTTTCAAAACTTGTGATGCCATTATATGATGACAAAGCACAGTTCATGTGCCACTTTCCCCATGTTAGTAAAACATGTGTCTGCAAAGTTTGAGACAAACGTGCGTTTTATATGAGGTATGCAGGCAGAAAATAAAGAGAAATGGATCTCAGTTCATCTTTTGCACAGCAAAAAAAGCACATGTGGCAAGCACAATTCTGCAGTGGCCCCAAATTCCACCTGTTCTTTTACATGTGATATATAATCCACAATGAGCAGAGTTGGAGACCCGGTTGTGCAGGGTTCAGTTGCTGGCACAGGGACCTCTGCTGTGTTGGGAAAGAGCATATGCATAGTGCTCTGAGGTCAAAATGACCACAGAGGAGGCTGCTGAGGGTGTGGGCTATTGATAACCTTGGAGATAAGACAGTTCAGAGAAGTCTTTGAACTGACTCCTAAGGTCCTGTCCAGTTGCCCTAATTACCTCAATATCCCTTTCCTTTATTTGAAAACCAAATAAATATGAGCTGCCCAGAGTTCTTTGTCTCAAACCCCAGGGAATCTTGACTTCTGGTAGAGTTTTGGCAGTTCTTAGAGCCCTAAAATAATGCCACTTGTCTCTTTTATTTAAGATATCCACTGTCCACTCATTGAGGGGATTGGGGCTAGGCCAAGACCCCAGTAAGCAGGGCTGGAGTATGTCAGGTGGTCACTCTTGATGAAACTCCTGGCCCACTGCCTTTGAATATGTGAGCTGCATGTCATGAAGGCTGGGTGGCAAGGACCTGAGGTGGTCACTGGTGGATGAAGATGACCCTGGCTGATGGCCAGCAAGGAGCCAGATGCTTTAATTCTACCAATGTGAGGAGTTGAATCCTGCCAACAGTCCAAAGGAACTTCAAAGAGGACTTCCAGTTTGGGAGGAGAACACAGCCCAGCTTGACTGCAGGGCTCCAGGAGACAACCTGGTTATGTTTGCCCTGTGCCTCTGACCTACAGAGCTGCAAGCTAATAAAGCGGCCTTGCTTTAGGCTGCTAAACTTGTGGTCATTTGCATTCTGCAATCATAAACTGATACACTGATGTAAATTCATTTTCTTGAAGAAAAAGGGGAAAAAGAGGCAAGGAATGACAAATTAAAATTCTAACAAATGCTGTTAGGAAAACCATAACATGTTTACCACCACTGGTGACTATTCATGCAATTTTAGGTTAAATCAGTTTTTGAGGACTTTAATCTTAGCCTTGTAGGTACCAATGAATTATTATTGCCCAACTGTAATTGATAATATTCTTTGCAAACAAAAATTGTAAACCCCTTTGATCTCACAAACTTGAAAGTTTTGATCATTGCTACTGAGAATGAAGTCATTTGGCAATCCTTTTTAATGAGATAAAATGTACATCCGATAAAATGTTCCCATCTTAACCTTAAATTAATGAGATTATTTGTTTGGCCACAGCCCAGTAAAGGTAT